CTCCTGTCAACAGTCATCTTGAAAGAATATTGAAATTTAATTCCTATAAAAAAGACCTGATGAATTGCCAAATAAAACCTTGTTTAAGCCTATAATGTAGTTAGAGACAAGTGAATCCTAACACCAGTAAAAGTCACACAGTACATCAATCCAGATTCTCTGGTAAAAGGACAACTGAAATGCATGTGCCCTCTAAGAAGCAGTAAATTTGATTTTTAATACTGATATGGCAATGATAAAAGCCCCGCAGGGAAAATCAACCTGGGAAACTGAGGTAACAAGTGGATTGTGAGATAGAAAGGAGGTAAAATAACCTTGTGCTCATGAAAGCTCCCAGGATGAATGAGCCTGTGCGACAGTCACATTGACCTTATCCTCTCTGCATAACTGCAATCTGCTCTCCTCCCATTATCAATTGCTGCAGTGGGAAATATGCCAAATGCTGTCTCGCCTAATCACTGAAATAAAATATCACTTACCTATTATACTCCTCATAAAGTAAACGGACCAGTTTATGTACGCAAATCCTAATTCAAAAAGCTTTTATAGAACTATCATACAGCAGAAATTTAAATTTCTCTCAAAACAATTCAGCAAGAAACCAAATTTTCAGAAAGAAAACTAATTTACAGTTAATTTACACGCAGGAGTGCCTCACAAACAACCATGAAGTGACCAATTTTATTTGGGGGATTGCTGGCCAGGACACTGGGGGAAACTCCATTCTCTTTTCAAATAATGTCATGAGATCTTTAAAGTCCACCTGAACAAGCAGAAGGGAACTTGGTTATAATCCTTGATATAGCACCTTATCACGTTGTTGATACATCTCAACGTGCTTCACAGAATATATTGTAAAGTGGATTGACTGTGCATTTTGTGTGTAAAATGCAGCAGCCAATTGCGCACAGCAGTGTCCCACAAACAGTCGTGGATTGAGTGACCACTTTTTTTTTAACATAGGGATTATCACCCCCGGAAAGCGATCTGCCCATCAACTAACAACCAGGTTCTTACTGCTAGATAAACAGAGACATATGGAGTAATGAAACTTGCCCAAGATTTTCCCCCATCCAGGAATCAAACCCAGGTCCTTTCACTTGCGAGCCAAGTGTGCTAACCACTATTTTACAGGACTCCATGATATCTCACCTAACAATACAACGCTCTCCCATCACTGCAACAGAGTGTCAGCCTCAACTACCAGCCCAAACGTGGGGCTTGATCCGACAACCTTCTAGTTCAGAGGCAAAAGTACACCGACTAAACTATCCTGACATCTAAACTGGTTTTGGGTATTGGTGGACCATTGGTGTGCACAAATTGACTACCTCATTCGTCTAAAGTAGTTACTTCACTTTACATTAAAATATCTTAAATTACTTTGATACAACCTTCTGCTGCGAAAGGAACTATATTAAATGTAGAGTTTTTTTTCATTGCAATCAAAGCTAATGAGGAGAACAAATTTAAATCTCCCCCAAAATACTTCAAACTAAAAGAAAACATTTTAACAACTTTCGATCAAAGGACTACATTTTTAAAAAAATGACATTCCTTTGTTTCTGTTATATTCTGTGCACGTAACTTTATGGATTGTTTAAAAATATATAAACAGTCAACACCTGCCTTCAGTCTGGTTCTCTGTTAACATCTGCTTTATGATGGGGGTGTTTGAAACCATGGGACCCAACCATGTAAAGTCCAGGACATAATTGGTGTTGAGAAATTGTTTATCCATTGGCAGTGACAAAGGCATGTTGTCCATAAACACAGCGAGTCATGATTCTATTATCAAAGGTAGTAATGATATTGTAAATTGAGGGTGTAGAAGGGTGACTATCACTGCGGAGCTTGAAGGGATTCTATGATACACAGGGTTAAATACAAATCTAAACCTTAAATCACTTTGCATTTAAATTCACAGTCTAAGAATAACTCGTCTTGCTGCAATAGTGGAATGTGGATGACATCTAACTGTACCTCTCTGCCTCCAACTTTGACTCCAGGACTTCTGCTATTCTGACAGAATGTCTGTCGGACATCAAGTCCTGGATGAGAGCTAATTTTCTTCAGTTGAACGTCAACAAGACCGAGGATCTTCTGATTGGCTCCCGTCAGCGCCTCCTCACCTCAGGGGCTGATATCATCACCATCCATGGTTGCACACTCCATCTTGCTAAGCCAGTCCGGAACCTTGGAGTCTTATTTGACCCTTAATTACCCTTTCTACCTCATGACCCGCTCTGCCTTTCCCACATCTTCAACATTGCCTGGCTCCGCCACTGTCTCACCCCCCAGACCACCGAAACCCTCATACATGCTTTCATTATATACTCACTGCTTATCGGCCTCCCCAACTTCTTCCTTCATAGGCTGCAGATCATCCAGACCACTGCAGCCCGCGTACTTTCTCGCACTAAGCTCCGTGACCCCATCACCCCCATCCTCGCCCGACTCCACTGGCTTCCCATCACACAGAGGATACAGTTCAAGATCCTGGTCCTCACCTTCAAAGCCCTCCATGGTCTTGCTCCGCCCTACCTCTGCGACCTCCTAACCCCCTACCATCCTGCTCGCTCCCTCCGCTCAGTAAGCTCCGGCCTCCTTCGCGAACCCCACCTCGTTCGCCCCACTCTTGGTGGGCGGGCCTTTTGCCACTCTGCCCCCACCCTTGTCTCCTTTAAGACCTAACTCAAGACCCTCCTCTTCGACCGTGCTTTCGATCTCCCTGCTTCCCCCCCCTGCTCTGCACCCTGCCCGACCTCGAGCCCCAGTTCGGGTCTGAAACTACATCTGTCCAGCACGGGTCTGAAACTACATCTGTCCAGCGCCTTGAGACGTCCTCCCCATGTGAAAGGTGCTATACAAAAGTAATTTTATTGTTGTTGTTGGAAACCAATTCACTGGAACAATATTCTCCATTCTGATATAGCTATTCAACTTTATTATTTTTAGGTGAATACTTACTTGAATGCAACTTAAGGATAGTAATAACGTTTGGTGTTGGCTGTGAGAGTTTTCATGTCAGCACATTGAACTCCAGATGTCCGATGTGCTTGTCCTACCAATGCATTTATAGTACAACTAACAGTCAGTTCAGGCTACAAGCAAAATGCAAAAGATTCTGCCAACAATTTCTTTTTTTCCTATTAAAGGTCACAAACATAGTTGAGGACCAGAGCCATACAAAGACCACATCTGTTTTCTCTTGTTACTGTTATTCATAAGAAGACACAAGATAATGCTCTATTCATCAATGTTAAATTAGTCTTTGAGCAAACGATTTTTAACACTGCTCCAACAACTATTTGTGGGTTGCAGTAGGAATTACTAGTATCCCTCAATGCTGAAATAAACTAGGCACACCAAACAAGATTTGAAATTTCACTTAAAGACTTGATTGTCTGAAATTAACGTTTACATTTTTAGAATGTTTTCAGCCTGCTCTTCTGAGGCTATAAACTGTGCTCGAGTTCTACCATTCATGTTAAGACAGGTTACCAAAGCTGCTTTTCGAGGTGTGATGTGATTATTTCTCATGCTTCCAGGAACGAGCGGGACACTGACTACACTGACAGCTTTTGAAGGGTCCAATTCTATCTTCAGTGACCCTACTGAAAAATGTCTGTGATCATAAACCTTCAATAACAAATCTCGGCACAGGCCAAAGGGTGCACGATTCTGAAGGAACAATTCACCCGATTCATAAAGGTTCATTGCGATGAATGCAATGATAACTTGTGCCCTTTCCAAATAACCCGACAATCTCAATAAGCACTATTCCATTATACACCAGTTGATGTCTTCCCAGGAAGATTTGCGGGAATATTTGGGAGGCCTTATCCTTATGTGAGTTGTATGATACTTCCAAAGAAAATGAGCTTCTATCCTGGAGAATGTCCAACAAACCACAGGGCTTTACTTTACTTGAGCACATAATACGAGCTGACACTCCAGTACAGTGCTGGGGAATGCTGCATCATGCCCTCCTTTCGATGAGATATTAAACCAAGGTCAAGGTCAAACCATCTTACTGTTCAGGGCTCATTGAAGATGCTGTCAAACCATCCAAAAAAAAGAGGAGATTCTCCCGGTGTCCTGGTCAGCAATCTTCGCCTATAAAAATCGTGCTCGGCCCCATTATGCATATGGAAATTCTTTTGGATAATGAGACAGCAGAACAAAAGACAAATTGGCTACACTGCTAACAAAAGCATTTCCTCCAGATGTGAAACAGTCATTTAGTACCATCCTGTCCTAGCAACTTTTGTCTCTCCTAAATTTCAACATTGTCTTGGACTGTCTGCTCTATATCTGTCTCGCTTCCCGTCTCTCTCAATTTCTGTCTTTCTCTCTTGCCCCTGATTCTTTCTCTCTGACTCTTTCGCTGTCTTTCTATCTCTGTCTCTAACCTAAATTGTACCTTTAAAAATGTTTTTGCTGATTCATAATTGCACTGTCTGAGGACTGTTTACTCATAAAAGACACAATCAATCAGTTTTACAGTACCCTGTGAAGAGCTTTAATGTGATAAGGCGCTGCATCAAATGTAAGGATTATTATCATCATCATCTGGTAATTTTGTAACAATTTTTTTCTGCCTCTCGGATAGTTGGTGCAATTAGTAATTTTGTGCACTGCGTCCTTACCCTTACCCAGAGCAAGGAAACTTTTTCTGAAATCAATCAATCACATCAATTGTCCTCTGAGGTGAACTGAACCATGTTATGAACTGGATGGGGCCTGGAATTATCCTCGAGAAAAGAAAGTACGGAACCAAAACCCTGGCCGAGTAGGGGAGCACCCAACTGCTCTTAAAATGTTTCAAGAGAGTCTCTGTAGCAGACCTGAAATGTGCCCATCGCTGACGCAGAAGGATTTAGCAACAATTGCTGTGGAAATGCTGCAGTGTTCCCAAATAGCTCAAAAGATTTAGTCTTTGCTGACTTTCACAAGAACATGCCAATAAGTTGCCTGGTGTTTTACCATCTACTTACCAGGGGAACTCTTCAGGTTGAGGAACAGGTTCGGTTTACTGCTCAGAGTGGAGGGTAAGCTCGTCTCAGATTGCTGATTGCTTTTTACCGACTGGGCATCAGGAGGCAGCAAAGTAGGCTAGAAAAAAAAGCATTTGTTTCATTCTCAGTATTATTTATCTCCAGGCTTGACTATGCCAAAGCTCCGATTGCCAGACTACCCAACCCTTCCCCCAAAAGCTTCAAGCTAACCAGAACTCCGCAGCCAGTATCCTTTCCCACAAGTAGATTCCGCGAGCCTATCACCCAAATCCTTGCCTGTCCTCAGCAATCGAGTTCAAGATCTTTGTCCTCACCTTTCAAATTCCTCCACAGTCTTGCTCCACCCTATCTCTGCGATCTCCTCAAACCTGTACCAAACTGCCTGCTCAGTTCTCTCAGCGGGCACCAGCCTGCTTCATGTCCCCTGCCCTCCCCTTGGTGGTCAGGATTTCAGCCTATTTGCCCCCACTCCAACCTGGAGTCCCTCCGACTGAATCCCTCTCACCTCTTTCAAGGTCCGTCTCAAGCCCAACTTCTTTGATTGCACCTTTGGTCATTACTCCTCTCCTCACCACCCTTGGTTCCCACCCCAGCTAGGTGTTATAAGTGCCTTGAGATGTCCTCCTGACATGAAAAGAGCTATGTAAATGTAAATTTGTATTTTATTGTATTAATGGGTATTTTATTTACTATGAACACAGCAGAGCAGCAAATCACTGCAGATTAACGCAGATTCAATTACCCAGTCTGCTGACTTCCTTGAAATCTTAGTAAGGGGAAGAGCAGGACAGAAAGGTAACTAAATTTCACAGAGATGCAAGGATATGAAAGGGTGGTGGAGGCCGATTCGATAACTACTTTTAAAAACGTGGTGGACGGGTATTTGAGGAGGACGGGTTTGCAGGTTATGGGGAAAGGGCTGGGGAGTGAGATTGACATTATATTGCTCTTCTCAAAGAGCCGGCACGGACTCGATGGGCGGAATGGCCTCTTTTTGTGCTGTACGATTCTATGATTCCATGATTACAGGAAAATAAGAATCTTAATTCAGCAAGGCTATCCAGAGGTGGCAAATATCCAGTAAGAACTGTGCCAAACTGGCTTCCAAATTCAGACTAAACTTAAGAATTTTCTAAAATTCCTCATCATATTAAATTTTAAAGATAATGGATAGTGGACATGGCACCTTTATTCTAAGACCTGACAAATTTAACATAACTTGTATTTATGGTTATAGTCCATTCTATATTCATGTTACAGTATACAGTGGAATCCCATAATAACATGCTTCATTAAAAGGTGGGTTCACCTATAGTAGGTGTCCAACCGTCTGGTTGCTGAGGGCCGGATGCTGGATTTGAGAAATGTCTGCGAGCTGCGTAAACAATATTTCTGTGTTTCCCTTCCAGAAACATAACCCGTAAGAATCATATAGAAATCTTTTGTTTTAAATTGTAACTGTGTTACTTAATTTTGCTATATTTTAGTTACAATGCAAACCATAAATAGGCAATGTAAAAATTCATACAAATTTTAAAACAATAATAAAGCCAGCAATAAGGTACCTGTCACTGTGTGAATGTCTCTCTGTCTGCACGTGTCTTTGTATCTGTCTCTCTCGGTGTGTCTCTATCTCTCTCTCTAGGAAACTGGCCAGCAATTGCCACCCAATTACAATGTTGGTTGGGATTTTATGGATGCTAACTACTGTGTTATAACTGAGTTTGATTAGATTATCACACCATGATTTAGCTATAAGGTTCTCTTGTATCACAAAAGTCTTGCAATGCCACATTGTCCTCTCTTATTTACCTGAGATGCAGTGAGGTTCTGACCATCAAAGGTTGAAGCAACAGAAGCAGCCTTTTCAGCTGTAAAGACAAAATATGTACTTTAATATTACCAGAATATACACTTTAGAATAGTTACAATCCACACAGCACACATTTTGCTTCTCTCTGGCCCAGGTCCTATATGAATGGAAATTGAGTGAGATGTGATCAGGGTTCGTCGGTCCACAATGTTTGATGATGCTACATTTTCTCAACTCAGCTTTAATTTGTTCCATCAATTCCTTCCTTCCCCTACAAAACATTTGAGAAAACAATTCTGAACTCGTGAATACTCACTCCATACTATATTTCAACAAAATTTTACTGAAAATGTTACACGTGCTCTTGCCAAACTGCACAGGATTTATTTAAAAACTAATACGTAAAGAGAACACAGATTTACAAAAGTGAATGAAGATTAATGCAATTACAAACAGCAAATTAAAAGAGTCACAAATCATTACCACTGGTGTCAATACAAGAAGTATGAGAAACAGGGAGAGAAAAGAGGTTTGCATTCAAATGAGTGTCCATAAACCCACATGTATCTCTTAATTACTGATTTCAACATACTGGGGTGGTTAGCAGGGTACAAATGAGGCACAAATCCTCAGTATTAAATTGTAACTGGGGTTAAGAATAATAAAAAAACTTTAATTTTAATACCATTCCTATCATGTTAAGCATGCACTAAGCAAAACAAGATGTAATCATATTGATATTGCATCAATAGTTTTCCAATTATATTACTCATCATTTTCAACTCAATTCACTGAGAAAGCAGCTAGAATTATGAATGTATAAATTACCAACACATGAGACCCTCTTCTTTAAACTGGAAAATTAATCATTCTAAATCGCTATTTCTAGTGGATTTGAAGAGAGGAGAGAAAGTAAGAGAACACATAAAGACTTACACACTTCTTTACCCACGTTACCCAGTTAGACATATTAGACATATACTATTCAACTTACATATCTCTATAATTGCCAATATGGTGCTTTTAGATATTTCAAAGTTATATCAAATAAAAGTATTATTGTTGTTGACATGTTTACCAGTTGGAGGTTGTGGGGTGCCAGGCAGCACAGCACTGCCTATGACCTGTAGGAATGGATACTTGATCTAGATGGCTCTGCATCTTTGCTCCCACTCCAACCCTGTCATCTCCTCCTGTAGCATCTCAGAACTACCTCTGACTTCAGTCATCTCCCCCCAACCCGCTCGGTCTCACTCAGTCTCTTTGAAACACTTTTAGTGCAGTGATTTAGATGTGGAAACTCAACTGAAGATGCAAAGGTCCAGAGATTCTTCTTTAGTCCCCGGTTGAAGGACTCCCTCCCTCCACTGCACCAGTCCGTTATTCCAATTTTGGTTTTATAATTGTATGGTCTTCTGGGAGCTATGTGGCCTCACCCACTACTAATTACAGCAATAGGGAGAATGTATTAATAGAATTGTATCTAATGCAGTGCAGGTGATAAAATCATTAGAAAGATAAATGGGTTGCCCAGGTTCATGGCAAGAGTATAAGAAATACAGAAAGATTTGAGAAAGATATGTATAGATACTTGGGAAGTAGAAATGTTAAAGGATGTAGTAATGAGGGAAAGTAAGACTGGAGAGCATAATGGGTAGATGGAGGTGTGGGCAAACCTTCTACTCCGAAATTCTCTTATAATCTTTTAGTTTTCCAATGATGGCTTAACTAAGCGATTGTACAATTTCAGTATCTCCTTGCTTTTACATCTAGGGCTCTATTTGTTATGGTCTTCCAAAGGTCACTCAATCCACGCCTGTTTGTGGGACACTGCTGTGTGCAATTGGGTGCCCCATTTCGCCCACCAAATACACAGTCACTCCACTTTACAATATATTCCGTGAAGCGCTTTGAGACATCTCAGCCACATGATAAGGCCCTATATCAAATGCAAGGATTATTATTTTATTATTAATTTTGTCAGAACATTTGAAAATGACAGAATTGTGACTGATAAACTGTTCAAGCCTTACCTGTATTTAAGAGACAACTAACTGACTCAAGGTATCTGAATGCTACTTGAGTAGCAATTAGCATAGACAACAATTAGAACAAAATTGAGAGCGCATATAGTAGTGACCAGAGAGTGATAGAAAGATTCAAGCCATAAAGCATTTGCAAGTTTCTGATTTCATGAGGTCAAATCAGCCTCTTGAAGGACCTTGTCCTTTGATCTGCCAAGTTTACTCTTGAGTTAGATTCTAATGCAGGTCTACCTTTAGGATACATCTGCAACTCTGAAAAGGGCTTTTAAAACCTACGTGGTCACTCGTAGGGAGACTCTTAATCCATCTGTCCGAGCTGAATTCCACCTCAGGTTCCCATTGTAAGAGTGGTGTTATGCACCCTCAAGGGAAAGTTTAATATAAAAAAATTCCATAACACTAATAATTAAATGCAAGTCTAATTTAAGAAACAAGCTTCCCAAGTGACAGAAGTGAGAACCAAACGTTTCGCCACAGTGATGAATCCCTGAAGGAGAAACGAGTTTCCCTTTTCTACAAAAAGCGAACAGTAAAGTAGCAATTTAGCCTATTCATTTTTCACCGAGAATTGCAAGAAATGCTGTTTAAATTACATCATAGACAAACTGGAGATTCAGAACAATTATTTGGAGACCGCTGAAAAATCAATGTGTTTTTGACATGTTAATAAATTCTTGAGGATGCAATGCATATCCATTACTTTTCATACAAACTATTCTAATAAAATCAGTCAGTCATTTTTTCACTTGGAATGCGAAAATTGATTATATGTGATGATATGCGATACTGATTTCCCTGTACGTTTTTTTAATCTATTCGGAAAGCAGCAAGCCAGTTTGACAAGTCATTACTCCGAGTCAGTGTCTGATTATAAATGAAGCAGTTCTGGAAAGTCATTAATAATTAAAAGTTAATGCAAACTTATACAAATGAAATCAAGATATTTTTTGTGGAAATGTAACCCCATTTACAATGGAGCAGCCTTTATGACCCCCCCCAAAAAATCTACTTTTTGATGAGGGTCATGACAGTGGACAATCAAGTGGTTTTAAACACAGAATAAAGCACCCAGTGTCATTGGAAAGGAGGAGGGAAAAGTATTCATGATTCCAAACCTTTAACCCAACAATCCATTGCAGTAGAGCACTTGACTGGTTGCCATGTCAGAGGCAGAACTACTTGAAAGCTATAATAATCCTTGTATTTGATACAGCGCTTTTCACGTCTTCAAGACGTCTCAAAGCGCTTCACAGAACATACTGTAAAGTTAATGACTTTTTGTGGGCGAAATACCACAGAGGAACGAAGAAATGCACCTAATAATTAATCAAGAAAAATTTTAAAAGTAATTTCTCACCTTAAAAATATATAATCATTTTAACCGATTTATCCTGAGGAATTTTATGAAAAGAATGCAAGACAAATTAATAAAATAAATGCCAGATATCAACAAGGATATTCACAGTTGATTAAAATCCACTATAGATTTAAGTAACTCAATATTATTGTTACCATAGCTTGAGGTAACGAATCACCTTTCTCATTTTTACTGCACTGACCTAGTCATGGCATGTCACATGAAGTTGTTCAGTGTACCTGTAAAAACAGGAATGTGATGCTACCATTCATTTCCCACTACACTACAGCTATAAACCTACAGCACTGAATAGCCACCAGGAGCACCATTGGGCAGGTAATGGGCAATTTTTCTTTGGTCAGCTGAGCATCTGACACACATGAACATCCAATGTCATATTTAAGAGACCTCAGACCAAATGTATGCTTAGTTTCCATTTGTTTGGTATGTCATGTGCACTCTCAATCTAGTGAGGCACACCCTGCTTACCTAGCCCTGGTGAATTTAGGTGCAGGTTGACAAGAGCCAAGGCATGAGGCCACAGTTTCTGAATTAGGGGGTACTGTTAACAGTTCAATTAGCTGAAAACACTGGCAAGCTTTCTGTCCAACTGAGTCACCTTATCAAATAAGGCTTTGATTTGCAGGGTTATCAGGAACCAAGAGGTAAGAATCCCTCCACTCAGTGACTGGACTGTACCTCCAAGTCCCACCAATGAGCCATGCTATCAGCAATAGTGCCCTGAATTTCTGTGCAATCAGTGTGCCTTAAGTACTGGACTACCGTGACCACAACAATGGGATCCACTTGATTTGAATCAACCATTGCCTGGCATATTTCATCCTTACTGTTAATATAGCACCTTCCATGTTTGAACGAGGTCTCAAAGTACTTCACAGAATTTACTAGTGCCATGGGACGTCCTCCCGACGTGAACAGCGCTATACAAATGTAATTTGATATTGTAATTTTGTATTGTCGTCTTGTATTGTACTACAAAGTGCAGTGATTTTCTATTTTTGCAGGCAAACGCAGCGGTCAATTTGTGACCTACGAACATCCATAAAGTGAATGACCAATTTTATCTGGGGGATTGTTTGCAAGGACACTGGGAAAAACTCCTTTCTCTTTTCAAGAAGTGCCCTGGAGCTAAGTAGACCCAAAGAGGATAGTCAGAGAGAAATGCAGCAAATCAGCTACTCACGTGGGAAGCTCAAAGGAGGCTTTACCTATGAGGTTGAAGCTTGGCAGTGAGAGCAGGGCCACTGGCTGACCGTGCCGAGTGAGCCCAATATAAATTAATGCTGCATGAATCTTGAACAAAGACATTTCCCCCTGTTTCATCCTGATCCACATCCTCTCGAGTCGGGAGGGTGTATGTTGACTCTTCTATAGGTCGGATCAATTCAGTGCAATTTCTTGATGGAAGAAGCTGTTCTTCTCTTCTATCACGTCTTCCCTTTCCTTGCATCAACTTCCCCACCCCCTCCCCAAAAACTATGACAAATCCCTGTTCAATTTGCATAACAACGCAAATTAGCACACACTAACTTACTAGTGGAAAATTGGACTGGTAATACAGTACTAACGTGAATTCTCAGTTGCTTCAATCCTTTTGATAATGAAAATGCTATGTTAATGCTGTGACCCCCAACT